ATGGGATATCAAAGAACTCTCAGTACTACTTTGCTATTTTCTATAAATCTAAAACTATTCTAAAATAAAACTTATTTTAAAAAGAGACTAGAGGAGTGCTTAGGTGGATCAGTTGGGTTAAGCGTCCGACTCTTGGTTTCGGATCAGTTGGTTAAGCGTCCGACCCTTGGTTTCAGCTCAGGTCATGATCCCGGGGTCATGGAATTGAGTCCGTGGAGTCTGCTTGGAATTCTCTCTCTCCCTCTGGCCCTCCTTCCCCGCTTCTGGAAGAAAGAAAGAAAGAAATCTTTAAAAAATATATCAAATTGAAGGAAGCTAAAGCAATTTAGCCTAATCTTCATAGGGCTCATGTGTTTGTTCTTTTACTCTTGATTCATTCTCAAGAGGGACATGATCCATCTGAACATCCATTTTGCTGGGTTCACTGTCCATGTAGATGATGGTCAGCTTGCTTCCTCAGATATTTTGCTGGAAGTTGTCCATCCAGCTCCTAGATTCTACTGTTATTATTATTAATAGTAGTAGTAGTAATAACACCAGTACCCCACTGAGAGTTAGGCTAACGCAGTGGGTAAGAGCACAGACTCTGGGGCTGCTCAGTATGGTTCGAGTCCTCCAACGGCTGTATGAACTAAGGCAAGTTACTGCAGCTATTCGACCTATTTGTGCCTCAGTTTCCTCACCTGTAAAGTGAGCATAACAGTACCCACCTCATGGGATTGTTATGAGCATTAGATAATTTGATACTTATAAAATGCTTAGAGTTGGTGTTTGTAAATAAGCGTGTATCTCTGCAGTAGTCAAGTGTGGTAGGTTGCAAGAATGGCCACAGATCCTCTTCATTCCTATATGCACACTTCTGTGCGATATAACATTGTACCTCATTCCATCAAGAGGTAAAGCTTATTTCTCCATCTCTTAAATCTGGCCTTGGCCTCATGATTTGCTTCGGCCAATGCGACCTTAACAAATGTGACACAAACAGATGCTTGCAAAGTCTTTGCTGCATGGCACTTGCCTTCTCTTGCTACTCTTGGGAACCTTGTGACCATTTCACTGGAAATGAGCCTGAGCTAGCCTGACTGATAGAAGAGACAAATGACCAGTCATCTCCACTGCCCCAGCTATCACCATGTCTAGACATGCAAGTGATGTCATCCTAAACTTGCCGGCACCAGCTGAGCCTCCGGATGAACACAGATGTGGAGGCAACAACAGTATAAATCAGCCATCCTGTCTATGACCAGAAAAGCCACTCTAGCAACACAGTGAATTATGAGAAATAACAATTGTTTGCTGTTTTAAGCCACTGTGTTTTGGGATAGTTTGTTATACAGCAAAAGCTAACTGATACACGAGGGGACATTTTTCTCTTAACTGCAGTTTTACTCACTAAGTAAAACAGACCTCCATCCACTTGGTTGTTTATTCCAGAAACTTGGTGTGATAGATGGAAATATTGTTCCACAAATATTAGCTCACTCCCCCATCCCTCACCTTTATTTCTCTGACATCCTGACTTTGGGCTTGTCCCTCTGTTGCTTTGGCCAACAGAACAGGAGCAGGCATGATGCATGCTGAGGCTTTAACTATGCTGTGTGGTTTGGCTTGACTTTTGCATCTTTGCCCAACCAAATGAGAAGAATATGCGGAGTTGCTACTAGTTACCACTCGTATACCAGTACTACAAATACTAGTAGAATAGTAATACTAGTAGAACACTAGTAAAATTTTAATACTTAGAATGATGAACAGACCTGAACAAAAGTCAAAGACTAGAGCCAAGCCCAGACCATCTAAATTCAGAGGCAGAGTCACCCTGGCCAGCCCATGAACATATGAAAGAAACAACCTAACGCTTATTGGTCTAAGTGATTCAGTGTTGAGCTGGTTTGTAACATAGCATCGTCACGGCATTAGCCGACTGATAATGGCTCGTCTGGGACACCACTTTCTCTTAACATCCATCTTACCTGCTTGGTCTCTAAGTTCCAACCACTCCACTCATAAGATATGCCTGGAATCTGTTTAGTCTTTCCTCCTCCATTACCACCGCTCTAGTTCCATCCAAGGTCACCCTTTGTCCAGATCATCACAAGAAGCTCCTGCTCTCCCTGCTTATCCTCCACTTTGTTCATCTCCATCACTGTCTACTTAAAACCTACCTGCAGCATTCCACCGTGCATAAGATACAATCTAAGTCCTTACAAGGTCCTGTGGCGTCCTGCCCTTGCCCCCTCTCCGGCCTTCCTTATCCTTCTCTCCTTACATCATGGTCCAGCCTCACTGGCCCTTCTCCACTGACATATATAGGTTGGAAGGCTGCCTATTTTCTGAGTCTGCAGGGAGAAATCATGGCATTACTAAGTATTTTCTTACTTCTGTAATCTGTATTTGTTTTTGTGAGGTGACGTAGGGGCACCTCATGTGACCAAGCCAGAGTCGGATTTTCTCAGGCTGTCCCATTGGCCTCACAGTTATGGGGCTGCCTTCCAGATTCAGGCAGTCCATCAGATTTCTTTTCTAGTGGGATCCCACTTTCTCCAGTCTCCATAAACATCTCAGCAGAAAGTCAGGAGAGGCTGCTAGCCAGCTCCCATTTAGAATGAGAACTCTGAGACAGCTGTCACATAGAAAGAAAGGAACTGACATTGGCTGAGGGCACATTAGGTGGCAGACCCTATTTTAAATGCCTGATGCGCATTGCCTCAGTGGATGCACACGATTATTCTGATCATTTAGACATGAGGCTTCTTAGACTCTGAGTGGTTCAACAAACCACTGGTACATATATTTCCCAACCACTTTTTACGTGGTCAGCATACCAGGTGCTGAGGGACCCAGTTGTGAGCAAGTCAGATCGTGTCCCTGCCCCAACAGGGCTCACGGTCTGGTGAGTACACAGATCGATGGGGCCCAGCACAAAATAAAAATGGAGTCTCTGATTCAAAAATTATAACGAGTTTCAGGAGTATTCCACTAAGTGAGGGGTCCCTCCAAACGTGGCCCCCTGCAACCACACAGGTTATATGCCCACAGAGCCTGCCCTGAACACACAGACAAGTGACAACTAGGGTACGGCAGAACAGGTGCTGTAATGGGTAAAGTACACGCTGTGATGTGTGAGCACACACAGGAGAAGAGACCCCAGACTTGGATGTGTGTGTGTGTGTGCGTGTGTGCGCGCGCATGTGCGTGGGCATGCAGGGGGAGTGAGGATAAGGTCAAGAAAGCCTTCCTGAAGAGATTACACCAAAGCTCTAACTATGGACTGTGGTAGTGGGAAAGAGCAAAGCGGACAGAGGTGAGTGATGACTTAGACCTAGATCTAACCGTACATGGTGGGCGGAAGTGGGGCATGAAAGGGAGAGTGGAGACCAAGAAGGTCCTCTGGGGGAAAGGGGGATGGATGGTTGCAGGCAGGTGGAGGGCAGCATATCATCCATCCAAAGAGGAAAGGAACACAGGAGGAGGAATGGGTTCAAGGGGGTAGAAAGAGCTCTGTTTTTGAAATGTTGGGTTGAGGATACCCATGGGATATTCATCCTACAGGAGAGTAACCTGTAGGCAATTAGATGCACGAGCTGATGGCACAGAAGGACCTGGGAAGGAGCTAGAACTGGGTCATTGGCATGTAGTCACTGAAGTGTGGTGTGGATAAGATTACTGAGAGGGTAGAGGGAGAAGAGAAAGAGGGCCTTGGGGCAGCCCACGAGAGGTGGAATTTCTGAGGACATGGAAGTAACCCGTGGCGAGCTGTGGTCAGAGAGCAGGGGGCTGCTGAGGAGCATGCTCAATCCCCCCTTATGTAGACTCTAATAATTTGGTCTACCATACCTCTATTGCGAGTGCATGGTTTGCTTTCAAATCACAGCATCCAAAGAGGTTTGGCCACCTTGGGCTGAATCTAAGCTGGCTTCAACATTAGATGTTGGTGTCACCCTGTCCCACGTGAGGCCGGTGATCCTCAGAGTATATGGCAGGGCTCTGGGTCTGGAGCAGTGCACCTTGCCCGTATCTGGGGCCACCAGGATGGAGCAGCAGGCCATGCAGGCTGTCGGGGACTGCTGGAGGCCAGCCTCCACTCCACCAGGACACCGAGGTGTGGATCTGCAGCCCAGTTAGGAGAACCATCCTGAGGCTGGGGGTGAAGCTGCAGCTCCGTGGGCACCCAGCCCATCCCCACTTTCCAGAGTGACCATAACAGGACAACTAAAACAAATTCAGAGCTTTGGAGGCTTCCAGAGAGAAATGACTTAGGGAGAACAGAACGGAGCTGGCGAGGTCTCCAGACCTCAAGCTGAGTAGATAGTACAAAGCAGGACACAATAGGTTTGGAGAATATACCCTCAGGTTCCGTGAATCGAGGCAAGTTATTCCACCACTTTGTGCCCCAGCTTCTCCACTGTAAGTAGGAGATCATGCACCTAGGTCACAGACTTATCAGGAAGATTAAATAAGTTAATATCTGTTAGATTCCAGAGCAGTGCATGTCACATACATAAGACCTTGTCAAATAAATGAAATACATCTTTATCCTTTACCCCATAGCTTAAAAATGACATTTCTGCAGGGAAGCCATCTAAGACACACACCTCCCCCAGCACAAGGCTAGATTCCCCTTTTATCTGATCTCGTAGTGCTCTGTATTTCTCCTTCATTGCATTTATCAAAAACAAATAACTAATCACCTCTCTCCACTTCAGTGCACGGAGCTTCATGCCAGCAGGAGCCACATTTGCTCTGTGTGCCGCTGTATTTAGTACTAACACAGCACTTTGCACACAACAGGTTCTCAGTATTGCTGAGTGAGTGAACGGACGGATGAGGGCTGTGCCTTCTCATGAATGCCCAGCGTGTGGCATAGCCCGACATAGCAGGTGCTCCTGTATAAAGGCTACACTGGACCTAATTAGAACTCTTGAGAGAGTCCTAACCTTAAACAAACGTAGGCTTGGGTACTGTCACCACACAGGTGTTAGTGAGAACCATGGGAATTGATGCAGGTGTGCCCTGAAAAATATTAGCAAGGGATGACACAGACCCAGGCCGCTCAAAACAGAGGTGCGACAACAGGTCGCATGCCCCTGCCCTGCCCGGCGCTGTCCCTTTAGTTGCTGGTCATGGAAAGCTCACGGATCCACGAGGTTGGTGGGCTGCCTGTGGACAGTATTCAGTTGGCTCAGAGTCGAAGTTCTTCCCCACCAGGTAAGGAAATATTGCACCATATTAACAACCACTGTGGCTTCGTGGGTACAAAACAGCTGAGGTCAGCCCTGAGCCCTGAGGAGCACATGGGCCAAGAAGGGACAGCGGACAAGAACACCAGTCTCGGGAATACGCATGCTTCTGGGATGCCCAGAAGAAACTCCTGCGGACACCGAGAACAGAACTATGGAAGAGGAACCGGGGTCGTTGTTCTAAACTCCAAGAAAATGCCTGGAAAAAACTGGTCTACATTTGTCAAATATTGCAGTGACCATGGGTCACTGAGAGAGGGTGGGGGATGGGGGAAACAGGTGATAGGGATTAAGGAGTGCACTTGTTCTGATGAGCACCAGGTGATGCATGGAATTGCTGAATCCCTATATTGCATATCTGAAACCAATATAACACTGTGTTAACTATCCTGGAATTTAAATAAAATTTAAAAAAAACCACAAAAACACAAAAATCTTCACAAAATTCTGAGAATGGCATTTATATTTATTCCTATTTACCAGGTGAGGAAATAGGGAATTAGAAAAACTAATGGCTGACCCAGCAAGTTAGTGACAGAGCTAGGACCCATTCTGATGCCTAATGTCTAGTGATCTAATATCACGGGAATATTTAAAAGTCAAATCTACTTTTAGATTTGAGATGTAATTCACATTCTACAAGAAATTCACCCTTTCACAGTATACAATTCAGTGACTCTGGGTATTTTCACGAGGTTGTCCAACCAACACCTCTATCTCATTCTGGAACATTCTCACCACCCCCCAAAAGAGCCCTGGGACCCATCAGCATTCATTCTTCTTCCTCAAACCCCTGGCAACCGCTAATCTACCTTCTGTTTCTATGGATTTGTTTAGTCTGCACATTTCCTAGGAGTGGACTCATTCATATAAATATGTGGCCTTTGGTGTCTGGCTTCTTTCACTCACCATGTTTTCAAAGTTCCACCCACGTTGTAGCAGGTATCCCGGGACTGAAGAGTTGAGAGACAACCTAGACACCCCCTACCGAGTCTTCTCAATTTGCAGACGGGGAACTGAGGCCTGACATAGCCTGTAGAGTTAGTGTACCCAAGTTCCCCACTGCCTCATCCTGTTATTTCCACCATACCACAACCACCAAGACAATCAGTATAATAAAGAAGAGCTTTCACAAATAAATAAAAACATTACATTAGTTCAACATGCCATACATTAGAAATAATAAAACAGGGGCGCCTGGGTGGCTCAGTCGTTAAGCGTCTGCCTTCGGCTAAGGTCATGGTCCCAGGGTCCTGGGATCGAGCCCTGCATCGGGCTCCCTGCTCGGCGGGAAGCCTGCTTCTCCCTCTCCCACTCCCCCTGCTTGTGTTCCCTCTCTCACTGTGTCTCTCTCTGTCAAATAAATAAAAAATTCTTAAAAAAAAGAAAAGAAATAAAATATACAGTAATAAAAGCTGGTATTTTACTAACTATTGTCACATCTTGCGAGGAGTCCCATAGATCATTTATTTCACGTGATATGGGAACGGTACCAGATGCGCAGGCAGGAAAACCGAGCCAAAGTTTGAAGTCAGCGTTCGCTCTCTCGGTACAAAGGTAACTATTTAAAAAGCCAAGTATGAATTACCCTTAGTGAAAGTTCCAAATTTTCTGTTCCCCAGAGTTCCATGTCCCTGTCGTACTGTCCAATCTCATTAAAATAATGCCTATTTATAGCAAAAATTCCTCCAGCCATTGCAGGTGACCTAAAAAGGATACATAAATATTAAATTACAGATTCGGTCATTCTGGATTTTTTGCCAAAATTATATTGAATATTAGCAATAACATAAAAACTATAAACTAGCAATACTGATACCAAAATTGTTTATATTTAGATATGTAAAATTAGCAAATTGAAACCATAACTACCTAACAGTACACAGTAACTTTTCTTTTTTAAGATTTATTTATTTATTTTAGAGAGAGAGAGAGAGAGCACGTGGGGGTGGGGAGGGGCAAAAGGAGGGGGAGGGAGAAACTCAAGCAGACTCCTCATGGAATGAAGAGCCCACATTTAACCAACTACGCCACCCAGGCGCCCCCTCAGCAACTTTCACTTAGCTCTCACCGAATTGTATAATGGTATCTTCTAAATGTTGTCTTTTCCTTGAAAGGGAACATTATCTTTAGAATGTGAGTTACCCCTGGGGACAAATATTGACTTGGGTATTAGAGTTTACAAATCTCCCTTTCTAAACACATTAAGTGAATTATAATATTTACTTTTGGGAAAAACATAATGTTACAAAGCGTCTTTTTTTTTTTTGTCCACCAATAGCAGGGCCCGATAACACTAAAGTAAGTAGTTCGCAAATGATCACATGTTCATCTACTCTTTCATTTTTTTAAAAGTATGTATTAAACACCTACGATGTGTTAGAGATACATTAGTGAGTCAACAGGCCAAGGTCCCAGCTCTTGTCGGGGCAAAAGGGTGGAAACAGGGATACCAGTCGCAGCAGTGGTCCCGGAGGAAGAGGATAGGATGGTGGATAAGGGTCCAGCAATGAGGGCAAATGAGATGCAGTCCAACTCCTGATGTAGTTTGAAGCTGGAACCAGCAGATTTGCTTATGAGTGGGATGTGGGTATAGGAGGGAAGAGAAGGGTGAAGGCTGACCCCAGCATTTTGGCCTGGGTACCTGGAAGGTGGAGATGCCATGCACTGAGGTGGGGATGCTGGGGGGTAATCAACTGTTTATGTTATCAGTAAGGCTTTCAGTCAACAGTGGGCTCTTAGCAGTTAAGTTTTTGGGGAGTCAAAAGGTACATTCAGAGTTTTGACTGCACAGGGTGGTCAGCGCGCCTAACTCCCATGTTGTTCAAGGTGAACTGTAGGTTATAACACAGATCACATGTATAATATATAGTCTATAAGTAATTGGTATCATGCTAAGTTCTTTTATGGCTTGATTTTTTAATTAGCATATTGTGAGAATTTGCCTTTTATAGTAATTAGCTTTCAAAAAACTTTATGTAATATTCTACAAAATATGAATATAGTTTTTAACCATTTCACTATTGAACATAAATGTTCATTTATGTTGTTTTTATTTTTAACCAATATAAATGCCACTGCAATAGATGTCTTTGTACTTACTTCTCATTAACTCCTCAGGGAAATATTTCAAGAAGTGGAATTACTGCATTAAAGAATAACATTTATAAGATTGTCAAATTGTTTTCAAAAGCATGTGTGACTACATCTATACTAACAGTGTCTTGGAGTTCCAAAAATGTTACTACTCAGCAAGTATCAGGAATGGTTTCCCTATTGAAATTTTTAGAGCCTAAAGCATGTCTGATATGTGACATACGGAAATATTATAAAATTATGTCAATTTTTTTTTGTAAATGGAATACTGCAACTACTTCTTACTAAAAGTAACTTTATTTTAAATTAAATAAGTTCATTTTGAGATGAACTCCAAAGATTGATGCTTTATTTTTTTATTTTTGAGTAAATCAAGATTTTTACATATTAAATTTTACTTAAATGAAGTGTTATCTTTATTCTTTTTCATTCTGAAGTCTATAACAGTAACAAGAGCAACCATTTATATTGATCACTTCCCCTGTGTCAGGCCTTAGGCTACGTTCTTTACAAGCATTGGCTTATTTAATGTCCTCGATAATCCAGAGAGGTATGCATTTTATTATCATCGTCATTTTATAGATGACGACAGTGAAGCTGAGAGAGGTAACCGGCCCAGCAGAGGGCTGCCTTATTGCACAACTCCAGGGATGCCAATCACCTATGATCTGTATGAACAATGCCTCGTGGAGATGTGCAGTACACAACCTATACAGCTGTACACAGAGTCCTAAACAGCTAACAAATGATGCTGGAACAAAGCAAAGATCAGAGTTACACACAGTGGAAGGTGCACGAAGGAATCTATTATCCTAAAAGCAAAGGAAATACATTTGGTGACATGTGCAAAGTAGGGTTTTAAGAAAGTTACTATAACAACAGCGAGATTGGCATGAGGGAGAGGAGCCTGCAGGCCAGACTGTCCCTTACAGCATAGAGTCTAAGCCTGGAACAGTGTGGGCCTGGACCACGGGGACAGGCAGAGAGATGGACAGATGTCATGTGAGAGTCATCACAAAGGCTGAGTCCCCTGGAGCTGGTTAATCACTGGGTTAGAGTAGGCAGCGGAAGCCTGCAGGTGTAGTCATGCTTCACGGCTACATAGTATCCCGTTATGGTTCCAGCATAAAGTACTAAATAATTTCCCAGTTATTCTTCCCGATTCTTAGTCTTTATTTCTTCTCCCTCTGTCGCTCCCCCTGCTTGTGCTCTCTCGCTCTCTCTCTCAAATAAAATCTTAAAAAAAGAGAGAGAAGAAGAAAGAAACCATGAGGGGTAAAAACAGAAATCAGAGAACTGGAGATCCCGATGATGTCCAGGGGTAGGTGTGGGTGGAGCATAGCAGGAAAAAATTAGGAACATCTTAGGCTGTGGCCAAAGAAACAGATATCTGGTAATTTAGAAGATGAAAGGCCCAGGATATGGCTACAGGAATAATAATAGCAAACAATGATAAATACTGATATAGTACTCACCATGGACAGATATTGTTCTAAGCTTTGATATACTAAGTCATTTTCCTAACAACCCTGTGAAGTATCATTAACCTCCAGACTTCACATACAAGAAAATAAGGTGCAGAGAGGTTAAGTAATTTGCACAAGGTCACAGAGCTCTAGTTAAATTAAAATAGAGACGGAGATCAAGGACTTGCTAGGCTGCAGTGTTAGAAGATTTACTCGAGTGATTTGTAAAACAAAGAGCTTAGTAGTAGAGGAAGAGGAGGAGCCAGGCATCGGTTATCAGTAAATGTGGGGAGTGACCTGCCTCATAGATGCAGTTAAAAGTCACAACATCAAATTGTTCTCCTTTAGAAATATATTTTCCAAGACTCATAATCCAGGAAAATCTTATTCATCTCTATAAAATTATAGATGAAAGCACTTAGATAAATGTTTTATATATGACTTTAGCAAAGACATCTACTTTTTCTGGGCTATCCATAGTGCTAGCATTTCATTCATTGACCACATGCAATTAGCTCCTGAGAACCAAGCCCACATTCTAAAGACAGACACCTGAAACCAGAAGGACACTATCCATGGCAGTGTTCTTAACTGGGGTGAGATGCTCATTTCCAATCAAAGAAATTAAAAACCTACCAAATCCTATAATCATAGACTTTTAGAAACAGGATAAATAACAAAATATTTCTCTTCATGAAGCCCAAGAAATGCAAAGAATCATCTCTAACATCTTTTCTCCCCAGGACCGAATACATATTCCCATAACCTGAAGAAATCTCCTACCGGATGGGTCTAGTGGGTCCTTCTGGTCCATCCATCTCATAAGAGAAAACATTATCCCATTTAAATTCTAGATGCCAGTTGAAAGCACCCCTTATGACTGGAGAGGGCCGGTATTCTAGGGTCTCATAGTCAATGGGATCTATCAGAGGACACACCACCATTTTGGGGTCCTTGGCAATGGCGTGCAGCAAGGGCTGTAGCCACACATGATTCACCTCGCAGTGGCTATCCAGGAACACCAGAACATCCCCTGGGGAGGCAAGAATAGGCTAGTGTTAGCACACACGGATAACACAGCTGACAACCCAAATCAAAGTTCAGTGCAAGGAGTATTTGTTAAGCATTTACTATGTGTTTGGCTTTTACAGTGCGCTTCCAGATTCACCGGGGGTGGGTGGGGACTAGAAACATATGCTTTATTCTGTACTACATCATGTACCATGATGTGCCATAGATGTTCAGAAGAAGCTGGTGAACTGTGGGTTAGAGAGTGGTTTGGGTAAGATTCTAAAGAAGCAGGTGGAACTGAATTGGGCTTTAATTAAAAAAAATATTATTTTAGGGGCGCCTGGGTGGCTCGGTCGTTAAGCGTCTGCCTTCAGCTCAGGTCATGATCTCAGGGTCCTGGGATCGAGCCCCACATCGGGCTCCCTACTCCGCAGGAGGCCTGCTTCTCCCTTTCCCACTCCCCCTGCTTGTGTTCCCTCTCTCGCTGTGTCTCTCTCTGTCAAATAAATAAATAAAAAATCTTAAAAAAAAATATTATTTTAGTGTGGCCTTGATTGATTGACTCAATTTAGCCAATGTTTAATGCAAG